CTCCCTCCACTCTCACAGTCACTAACCCTCAAGCCGCTCCCCTCTTCATGAACGAATAGAACCCAGGTTGGGCCCTGGGTCGAGACCTTCGCTCCACAAAGCTGTCACCATGGCTGGACTTCGGGCCACTTGGCTCCCCACAACTACAAATGTGCCTTGGTGTCTTTATTCTCAACGTGGGTTGCACTGGAGGTGGCAGATTGGAATTAACGCGCTAGAATTGCAATAACTTTCCATGGGATTACAGATGTGAACTTCCTGGACAATAAGGCCTGAGAAGGGCCCTCAGTCCTCCCACTTTCTTCTGTACACTATGGACTCATTTACACACACACACCCTCTCTCTCACACACACACACACCCGCTCACACATGCACACTCACTTGCCAGGAAGCAGTTTACAAAGGCGTATGTTACTTATCAGGAGTAGAAGTAATTGGAGAGGAAAACAGAATAGTACAGAAACAAATGGCTTCACCATGCTGTGAAACAGCACGATTCCAAACAACTTTTACCGAACCTTTTGAGAGAAGCCCTCAACTGAAAACTGGTGATTGCCGTGAGGACCCAGAACGAGGTGTGTGTTTAGAGAAATGATTTGCTGCTGCGGTCTTCTATAGGTGGGCCACATGGCTCCATAGTTGTGAGGATGGAGACAAGGAAGAGAAACTGCCCTTCAGAAGCAGCGTGGCCTGCATCCTTGCCCGAATTTACTTTCTTCCTAGTGTGTGACTTTCAACAAATTACAGTTTCCTCCCATACTAAGGTGGAGATAATAACACAGGGAGAGCTGGGCATGGTGGCACACGCCTATAATCCCAGCACTTGGGAGGCTGAGGCAGGAGGATTGTTGGGAGTACGAGGCCAGCCTGGGCTCAAAAGTGAGATCAACGCCAGTCTGAACTGCATAGCAAGACCCTGCCTCAAAGAGAAAAAAACAGACAAGCAGAACACCCACTGGATTCTGCCTGAGAGAAGAAAGTAAAATATTCGAGGTTCCGCAGTACTCTTGCTCTCCACCACAACTACTTCCATATTGTTGTAAAAAGCAGCCGTAGACGATGCATCCTTGAGTGTGCATGGCAGTGTTCAAATAAAACTTTATTTACAAAAGAGCTGGCAGGCCATTGTTTGTTAAATTCTGCTTTATATTGACCAATAAACTGTATGCGATTTGAAGTACCATTATTATTTTTTTTTAATGTGAGGCTTATTCCATAACTGAATTTCTGACATAGGGTATTCATTTTTTCAAAGCATTCTTCTTTTGTGCTGTTTTTAAGTTTTAAAACTTTTAATATAAACTCAAGCGATTCAGGTCTTAAGGTGTCTTTACTATGTTTTGACTGTCTTGTTTATTTTCTAAGTATTAAGTAATATTTACTGTTTAGGTGTTTACATTGAAGAAGTTCTGAATAAATGGAAAGGAGATTATGAAAAGCTGGAGAACAACCACACTTACATCCAATGGTCAGTCTTGAGCTGTGTTCTGTCTGTCTTGAACTGTGTCCTATTTCACCATGTATGTCTTCCAGACAACAGAAAAACCTTATTGTTTTCTTAAAAACAGGCTCTTTCCTCTGAGAGAACAAGGCTTGAACTTTTATGCTAAAGAACTAACTACATATGAAATTGAGGTAATGCAAGCTTATTTCCCTTGACGGCAGAGTGATATTGTTATTTGATTGTGCTCGTAGCTACTAAGTCATTTCAGGGAACTTTTTTTTTTATGTTCTTTATCTTAGGAGTTCAAAAAGACAAAAGAAGCAATTAGAAGATTCCTCCTGGCTTATAAAATGATGCTAGAGTTTTTTGGAATCAAACTGATTGATAAAACGGGGAATGTTGCTCGGGCGGTTAACTGGCAGGAAAGATTTCAACATCTGAATGAGTAAGTAAAGCCCCAGAGGTGAGGCAGTGGTATTGTCTTGTGGCCAGAGATCTGTACAGAACCTCAGAGCAGGTAGTAGCTGGTTAGGCAGTTTGGATTTAGAAGCCAAACTGGAATGCTGTATATCAAACCAAAACAGTGACAACTAAAGACCTGAATTCCAAATAGAAACACAGATATACAGCTTCTAGACTGTTTCTTCCTGCAACCTCCTGCCTGCAGCCAAGTGTAGCCCCTCTCTGTCTATATGTCTTATCTCTTGGAATTTAGGGCTTTGGCTTATATATAATTTTTTGTGTCCTCTCTGCTAGGCTGTAGGCTTTTGGGGACAAAAAAGACCTTCACTCTTGGTGTCTTATTTTACAGTCCATGAATTAAGCTTATGGTATATAAAGTCATTTTATAAGAAGGAAATATGACTGTATTCTTTATTAAAACAAAAGAAAAATTATAATTTATCTTCATTATTTAGATAAAAAGCAAGCAATTTTGGTTCATAAATCTCAAAATCTGGAAAAAAATATTTAGCATAGCTTATTTGGATTTGTTCTGCTGTCTTCTTTTGGTTGTATATTTATAACTTTCATTAATACTTGTAGCCAAAGTTTATTTTTAAAAAATGTTTTCTTCATACCCAACTTAGCTTTTTTTCTTCCTTTTTAATTATGGGGTGGCTTAGGAGTGCTGGACTATAAAACCTACTGTTTTATAGCACTTTTTAGCACATTATAATTAGCTGAATCAGGCACGTTCTAAGGGAAAAAAATTAAAACTAACTTAACTAATTCCTCTTCGGCTGAAAATAGTTGTTCTATCAGTTATCTAAATTTGTTGTATCTTTCTAGAACATTCACCCTATTTTACAGTTAGTTTTAATTGACACTCATGAAATGGTAGCTCACACTCCAACACTGAAGATTTTGTCATAAAGCTTCATGATCCTGACTGGAAGATCCAGTAACTCATTACTTCTATATAAATCAAATTTATCTAGAGGACTTGAAGTGTGACTAGGTATATACAGATGTCTGCCTAAGCAGCAAAGGGAACTGTCTCTGGGCGAAGTTGTAAGCACTATACGTCACACTGCCAAAGATGCCATGTCCAGGTGGCCTGTGGACATGATGCATGATTAAAGAAAACCTCTGGAAGAGATCTAATGATACCTCATCTCCTATGTGCTCATTTTTGTCATTTTAAAGTTTCTTCCTTTCCCCATTATTGTTTTTGGCTAGAATAGAGACATTGTTTAGAAAATTTTTTTGAATGAATAAATCTGAACCAAAATAGCATCTTCAGTTGAAATCCTTCCTAAGAATTTTATTATCAGATCCTGTAATGTACAGCTAGAGACAAAGCCATTTCTGAAAGATTTAATGGTTGCGAGAAGGAGCCTAAACTCTCTGTTCATCTGGGTACCTTTCCTTCCACCGCCGTTGTCTCTCTTGCCCTTTCCAGCTCTGGACTTAGAATCTGTCTGAAAGCATGTCTCACCTCTGATATAGTTGCCAAAAAATTGTATTGGCTGGACTTGAACAAATGAACAAATTATGTGGGATGATGTGAAAATGTCTATTCATTTTGCTTCTTCAGTTGGGTCCCTTTCTCTCTCTCTTTCTTTCTTTCTTTCTTTCTTTCTTTCTTTCTTTCTTTCTTTCTTTCTTTCTTTCTTTCTTTCCTTCCTTCCTTCCTTCCTTCCTTCCTTCCTTCCTTCCTTCCTTCCTTCTTTCTATTTTAGGGAAGGGTCTACAGGGTGTTCAGGGTCTCACTACTAGATCGGACTCATAGCAGTCCAAGTGTTTACAGCCTCCCAAGAGCTGGGATCAGCTCAGTCTCAATTGCCATCTCAGCATACCCCATGGGCAGGGCCGGCACAGCAGGCCCAGGGATCGAACCCCCAGCCCCTGCACCTGCTTGCAGGTGCTTTAATCCACTGACCTATTTGGCCAGCCCTCTGATTTATTCTTGGATGTCATAGCTTATCCAAGTTTTAATTTGTATGACACCTTGAGATTTTTAGAATAGTCAGGGAACTTGAGTATATTTATAGTAGCTGAGCAACAGAGAAATACTGAATCAAAGTAAAATGATATAATTTGGACTATACTGCTGACTATGCTAAAGAAAGCAAAAAAACTTCAGACATGAAGTATAGGCATAGAGACCAATCCTTAAGAAGTATTTCTAGTTTTAATTTGTCACCAGCTTGTATTATGCAGCTATATTTTAGGTCCTGTAATTGTTCTCTCTCTCTCTCTCTCTCTCTCTCTCTCTCTCTCTCTCTCTCTCCCCCCCTCCCTCCCCCTTCCCCCTTCTCCCCCTCCTCCTCTCTCTCTTTGTGGTGGTACCAGGCAAGCACTTATTCCACTCAGCTATCTCCCCAGGCTCATTTGTTTCTAACTTTCATGTTCTCTCTTTTGTGTCTTGCTTATCATGAGAAGCAAGAGCTGACTTTGCCCATGAGCTGGCATCAGCTCACTTGTACCTTGGCAGTACCGCCCTGCTTACTACCCTTGCTTCTGTTTGGAAGCCCAGTTCCTCTCTTTTATCTGCTGAACCCCCTACCTCAAGACTGCTTCCAGTGCTCCCAGAGCTTCAGCACCTCTTCTGCCCCATGTTTTCCCTGAGGCATGTATTTCACATGATATGAAGCATCCAGCTGATTCCTCCTATCATTTCATTCTGGAATCCTGATCATCAGTTTCTTCCATCCAACTGGTTTTTTTTTCCCCCATGTTTGAAAATTACTGCCTAAAAGTTAAACAGAAGAATGGATTTCATGTTGACATATTCATAGATGCTTGTGCCACACCTCAGTCATTCCCAGTTTCCACACCCCTCAAGGTTTTATCCTTTTATTTATTTGTTTATTTATTTGCGGAGCCGGGGATTGAACTCAGGCCCTTGTTCCTGCCCAGGAAGCACTTATTCCACTGAGCCATCTCCCCGGCCCTTATCCTTTTATATCATTTTGGAAATATTTTTGACTGGAGAATGTGTAGATCTGAAACAAAGTGGAAAAAAGACTTAACTTGATTCATCTTAGACTGGTTATGTGAAGATGAGCTGGTTGCAAATATAGCATTTCTTTCGTCACGTAGCACCTGTTGTAAGTAGTCTCCTCCTTTTCTATACATCCTTTCTCTTTGATTTTTGTGGCAGATGTGCCTGAGGAGTTTTGGCAATCAGTTTTTTTAATATACAAACTCAACGTGAATGTAGCAAGTAAGTCCTCCTGTTAGTGGCACATTATCTTAATTTTATCCAAGTTATATTAGTTTAAGCTACTTTTCTTTATTCTTTTCTTTTTTGGTGGTACCAGGGATCGAACTTAGGACCTTGCACTTGCCAGGCAAGCATTTATTCCACTGAGCTACCTCCCCAGCCGTAGGCTACTTTTCTTTCCTATTAAAAATATTGATTCATAAAACTGAAACTTCTCTACTGTGTTTTATCCTTTCGACTTCAAAGCATTGAATCTTAAGATAATATTTCTTTGGTGAATATGTCAAAGTATGTAGATGATAAAAGTTATTGGGTTTGTCTTTTCTAGTATCTGAATAATTAAGATTTATTTTGTCTGATTAAGGCATAAGATCATGAAACCATACTTTCTTCCATAACTCAAATCATTTATCAACATCTTTCTATACTCGTCCCAAAGAACTTCTTATTCTAAGTGAAAACTCCATGCATCTGTGGAAGCTAGGGTAGGTACATGCAATACCGGTAGAAGTTCAATGCCTGAGATGTAAGACAGATATGAAGGAAGTTAGAAATAAGTGCTGATGCTGGTTGTATGGCGGTCTTGGGTAAATAAATCCTGGAGCTATTGACAATACATAGGGTCAATATTGGTATCTGAGGATACTTTTAGGATTTGGCCAGGCATGTGTAATAAAGTTAGTTGGATCTGAATGAAGTTGAGAAAGTAGATCATACATAGCCACAAAACAGATTTGGAAAGCATTAATCCAATAATGGCCTGAGTTTTGAGAGAGAGAGGAAAGGTTAGTGTAATCTTGGAAACAAAGTATCTTTGGAATCGAGGTCAGTGGAAATAGTACTTATAACTTGGTGGTTAAGGTAAGAGGTATTGAAATTTGCCACAATGGAAGAGAACCAAGTTGTTAAATTAGGACAGGAACAAATAGAGTCTCAATAGCAATAGGTTGTAACTATTGAAATAATAATATCTAAAAATAGTATCTGATTTTTTTTTTATAAAAAGAAATATTCCCTAAAGATATATCATTTCACTTGATTCTTACAACATCTGGGTTAGTTGTGGGCCAAGTTTCTTGCTTTACAAATGAAGAGAATGAAACATAGACACAGTAATTATAATTTGCCTAACAGAGCCGGGACGTGACTGCCTCTGAGGCCCACACTCTAATCTGTTAAGCTGTGCTCTATCAAGTGAGGCAGCTTTTTGTCCTGTGTCAGAATTATTCTTATGAAAGTGTTTTTTTGCTGCTTTCTTGTGAGTTAGCTTATGGGTCAGTTGACACTGAGTGGCTGGTTAACACCTATGCATTGAACCCTGGTTACTGCGGGGGTGGTGCGGGTGCTGAAAGTCCCCCTTCTTCATGGGGATGTACTTCAAGATCCCCAGTAGATGTAACCATACAGATCCCTATGTAGTCTCTGTGCTGTTCCTATGCATCCATGCCTGTGACAGCATTCAACACAGTAAGAAACTAAGCACAGTAAGAAATTAACAGCTAATGAAATCGAACCATTGTAGTAATATGCTGCAATAAAAGGTGTTTCTCTAGTTGTCTCAAAATATCTTATTGTCCATAACCCTTCTTTAAAAAAAAATCTTAGCTTATTTATTTGATACAGGGTCTCACTACATAGCTTGGACTCCTAGTGATCTTCCTGTCTCAGCCTCCCCAGTACTGGGACTTGAACCCAGGTACTTGCGCTTGCCAGGCAGGTGCTAACACCTCCAAGCTATCTCCCCAGCCCCCTGTACCCTTCTTGGGATGCTAGGAGAGGATACAATGCCCCAGGTGACTTTGGGTATCTATTGTAAATGCTCTGTTAGTTCATCCTCCATGAATTTAACAACAACAAAATAGTTCAACATCAGTGAGGATAATCTCAAATCTAAATATGTTTTTCTCATAAACTAAAAAAGAGTTCATGCATTTAGAATTTCACATACTTTGGCATTACCTTAAGGTGTAGAGTTTTCTCCATCAACAGACTCTGATTAATCACAACAGTATCTGAGATGACTTTTTAAAAGTCAGTCCAATGGCTATTTCTTGGTCTTACACTTCCATTACAAATGTTCCTCTAGAAATTTCTACCATTTGCTTTCCACCGCATGGCTCCCCCTCACTTTACCCAATCCTGTCTTCCAGATCTCAGCACAACTATTTAAGAATCACCCGCATTCTTAAAAGCCTTGGTGAGCTTGGCTACGAAAGTTTTAAATCTCCTCTTGTAAAATTCATCCTTCACGAGGCGCTCGTGGAAAACACCATTCCCAACATCAAGCAGAGTGCTCTGGAGTATTTTGTTTACACCATCAGAGACAGGAGAGAAAGGCGAAAGCTCCTGCGGTTTGCCCAGAAACATTACAGGCCCTCAGAGAACTTCATCTGGGGGCCGCCCAGGAAGGAGCAGGCGGAAGCCAAGGGCCAGAGAGCGGCTGCCCCTCCGGCCTATGGCCACAGCGCGCAGAATTCTGGGCACAAAAAAGCCAAGGACTCCAAAAATCCCTCCACAGCTGTTCACTTAAACAGCAAAACAGCCGAAGAGAAGAAGGTGGCCCCCAAAGAGCCCGGGGAAGGGACCGAGAGGCCCAGACCGGAGCCTAGCGGTGACTCTGCAAAGCCCATAAACTCACAGGACAGTGAGGCTGACAGTGCAAAATCGCAACCTGAAAATACAGCTGAGAATGCCGCAGAAAAAATGGAGAGTTCCTCCCCGCAAGAGAAAGATGAAGAAGGTGAGAATCAGAGTGAAGACTGCACAAAGGCTGAGAGTACCAGGTGCGATGATGAGGTTCCGTGACAGAAAACCACAACCCGGAGGGAAACACTGTCTAGGACGTTACTTACCAGAACAGGGTCAACGTCATGTCCCATGCGTTAGCTGTCTGTTTGTGATTTCTGTCGTCAGCCTTTTGTTGTTTTCTTAATTTTTTGATCTCATTGAATCGGATATATAATAAATTTTAAGGTGAGCGCCAATGAATGAATGTTTAAGGATGTGTTTTCAGAGTCTCTGTATGACTAAGGTTATTTTCGAGACCTCTAGAAAAATCACCTACTATTTGGTTTATCAAATACTTTGCTCTAAGAGATGAGCCTAAAGTGAAGCAAATCAGTAGAGTAATTCCATTTTGAAGCCGGAAGAAAGAGTTTGATCTTCTCAGATATATTCAGAAAATGATTTGGATTCTTTGACTACACACCTCCGAGGGCTCAGTTTTAGAGTCTCATAGTGGAGTGGATGTCCCTGGAATCTCGGCCCGCCCAGCTCGCTTAGTGGCTCTCCGTGGCTCCCTGTCACCTCCACCACCCTGGCCTCCACCTTCTTCAGCTGCCATGTGCATTTCTAGTGCATTAGAGTGGTCTCCTGTGCTAACGTCTGAGTGACAGAGAAGACTTTTATTGTATGATTTCAGAAATCTTTATTTAAAATTATGAAAATGTTTTCTCCATTAAAGCTTAAAAGCGAATTTTGGTGCCGAAGTTATAAAAGTAGTTTGCTTATTATGGCTACCCAATATAGGTTTTGCGGTTGCTTCAGGGTGTAGATGACTGAAATGTTAAACAGTGAGAAGGGAAATCATTTATTTTTAAAAGTCATTCCTCTTGCACTGTCCATTAGCAGTAGTGCCTCAACTGCTAATATCTTGCTGTTATGTAAATTACGAATTTACTGACATTGCTTTAGTTCTCAATGTCCCAGAAAAAATGTGTATTTATGTAATATGCAACTTTAAGTTGTCAGACTCTGAAATTGAGAACAATTTGAAATTCCATATACTCAGTTCTAATGAGTACTGAACTTGTTACATAACGTTGGTCATAAACAATTTTGTTTCCTACAGCACTATTACTAATTCATCCAACATGGAAATCAAACACTGACGAGAACTTGAAACTGTACATACAATTATAGACAAGGAGTGAGTAGATGAGGCATTTTCACTTTATTTCAGTTACAGAAGAATTGACGTTTTTTTTAAAAAGAAATGTTTTGTTTACTTTAATCCCCAAAGAATTTCTTTTTCCCATATGAGGGATTGAACTGAGGATCTTTGCATTGAACTACACCCCCAACCCTTTCCTTTCCTTTCCTTTTCCTTTTCCTTTTTTCTTTCCTTTCTTTTCTCTTTTTCTTTCATTCATTCATTCATTCTTTGTCTTTTCCTTTCCTTTTTCTTTTTTTCTTTCTTTCTTTTTTTTTTTTTTGACACAGGGTCTTTCTAAGTCTCTCATTGTAATCCTCCTGCCTGAACCTCCCAGAATGCTGGGATTAGGGCATGTTCCACTACATGTAGCAAGAATTTTTTAAGTCCTATTTTGCATCACATTATGTCATCTTCTGTTGCCTCTACTGATCCACACTTTCAACAGTGGATTTGTTAGAAAATAGCAGCACTGGTAGGAGGCCTTCAGAATTTGGATTTTATTACCATGGATTGTGCACAAAACCATCCCAGTTGCTTAACCTTGACTTTTTATGTGAATCTTAGTGGTAGTCGTATTGCTTATATCATATTCCAATAAGTAGACTATAGAATGCTTTATCATTTTTAGTTCCCATAATATGTCAATTTTTGCTTTACACTGTTTGTGTACTATTTGATTTACTCATCTAGGTTTGCATTTCTATTTGTTTTTTTTTACATGCAAGAAATACATGGACTCTTTTATGTGGTACTTATAACAATGTCCCCATAGATCTCAACGTTTCCACAAGGATTTGAGATGCCTGTATATCGTCAATTGGGGCTGAATTGTAATTCAACATATCTTACAAATTTTATATACATGACAAAGGTTTGGATCACTTTCTGAATGTTGAGTATTACAGTATGTGACCCAGTACTAAATACTAAACAGTTATCAGATATAATATAATCTCAACTACTTATAAATTGTTGCATAGCAGAGTCTTTGGAAGGAAAAACATTTAACAGCTGAGCTTTTAGAGTATTGTTCTGTAGAGATCTTGTTAGGTCATACTGTTTAATATGAGAATATTTCATCTCAAGGGGGGAATTGCCTGGCTTCTGTATAAATTAGTGGTCTTTTTCCATGATGTTTTTAAAATGCATATTCATATCTGATATTAGTAGGTTTCTTACATTTAATCTGTAAATAAAGAGAATTATTTAGTGGAGAACAAGTAAGGGGGCATCATTCCTTTTGCAGATAGACTTTTTTCTATTATGAATACTTTGTACATTGAATAGTTTTTTAAATAAGATCTAGAGATAGGTGTTTATGTGGCTTAGATATGAAGCTGACCTCTGGGTTTAACTCCAGTGTTTTGTATTTTCAAAACCTACCCTATGCTTGCCGAGATTTACCAAGAACATGTTGCAGAAAATGCAGTGTGCATGGCCCCATAGCTAGAAATGCTATCGAGTATCTGCAAATATATAGTCTTCACTGTTGTGCCACCGGCTGTGAGGTAGGAAATACTGGCTATTGATAAAATGCAAGCTTGCGTATCATGATGAGCAGATACATATTGTCTGATTTGTCTAATCCATTCCTCATATTTTGTGCTTTCGTGTATCAAAGATCATATGTGAAATTATTTTCCAATACTGTAAAGTGACAATGATAAAATATTTCTGTATAGTAGGGAACTTTCTAACGTTGAGATTATTATAATAGCATTTTTATGTTCAACCTTGAAGTAATCGTGATAGAAATGAAGGTCTGTCTGCTTTCTTTAAATCTAGTGTAATTGTCAGTTCAAAATTTAGGTAGCTTTGTGGCATTTTTTCCATGTTCAAGGAGAAGATAAAGTCTACAACTCAGGAGTTCCTAGGGAAGCTCTAAGAGTTTTTGCTCAGTTTTTAACATATAATCATAGCAAGATACCATAAAACCTATTGTAACATGTTTTGCATCTTAATGGAATTACTTACTTGGCTTGTAGCTTTAAACTTTAATCTGAATGAGAATATGATTGGATGAAAAAGGAAAACCAGTACAGTGCTACATCTGAGTTAGTTTTTTAAGAAGTCAGTTTTGGAAATAAACTTACACACCAACTGTTCATAGTTGTTTTGATGTATGAATAGGCAATATTTGGTTAATTTACCATTTAGTTTCTCAAGTTTATAAACAGAATTATGACTGAGTTTGTAGTGCACTCAGTAGCTAAGTCAAACAATTTTTTAAAACTATAACTGAGGCTCTTCTAAAGTCTGTATTTTGTAACCTAAGAGAAGAATGTTCTAGATTTTGCTAAGTATACCTGCAAGTCTTTAATGTCTGTTTAGGGTGAGTAGGGAATCACTTGTTAGGTTTTGAAGGTTTCTATTTTGTTTTTCACGTGGAAAATTCTCCTTTCTCCTTGAGGCCTGTGTGTTACATCTAAGGCAAGATGGAACGAAAAATGCTAGGATCGTTTCAGATGTAGGTGCACTTCTAAAGAAAGACGGCGTGAATCAGTATTGGACCTAGCAAGTTAGGACCATGCGTCTGCCAACTTTTGCCAACATGGAGGTCTGTGCTATTTTTAAGGAACAGATTTGTGTGAATAAAGTCTAGGGTGACAGTGAGTACTTCCCTGACTCCTGCCTTGTTCTGGTTACCAACCCACCCAGCAGATTGTGTTTGGGGACAGATTGTTTTTGGCACTCTCTTATTGAAATGAATAATCATACAGTTTTGTGAATGCCTGGAGGTGTCCTGTCATGCCTTAATGAATGTAAGGGGTTTTCATTCAGAAGTTTACCTTTTTTACTTACTGTAAAGTGCTGTCATAAGCTTTCCAATGCATGAATAGCAGTTATTTTAATGACATTTACCTTCATGCTTTATTGTTTTGGAACAATTATCATTTGAGACACTTGCCACATTATCAGCAGTGAGTTATATTGGACAAAAAGGGCTTAGGGTAAGAAAGGTTAACTTGTGTTGTAAACTTCAGGCTTTTTTTTTATTGCTGTGTACTATAATTTTCACTTTACACATTTTAGTTGCAGCAAGTAATATTTATGTTTTCTTGTTCTTTAAAACAGATAGTTAGGGCCAGCAAGGTAGCTCAGCAGACTAAGTGCCTGCATAGGCAAGTGTAGGGACTAGGGTTCAATCCTTTGGACCACATGCCACTCTGGCCCCACCTGTAATCCCAGCACTGAGGAAGCTGAGACAGGAGGATTATTGCGAGTCTGAGCTGCACAGTGAGACTCTGTACCAAATACATTAAAAAAATTTTTTTTTAAATACAGATAGTTGCAGAAAATGGTATTTTCTTAGGAAAACTCTTAAAATTTTAATTCTAGTAGGTATTTGGAGCAAACTAAAATAATTTGAGAAACTTTTATGCTCTAAGCTTACTAGGATCACTTGAAAAACCCTGTTCTTGCTTTTGTCTTAGAGAAAGTGTTCTTCATTATCTGCTGCTTTCCTATTCTGTTGTGGAGTTTGTCTCAGCTGCCTGTGGGAAAAGCTTCTCTAGATGTGTGTTTTCTTGAATGAAAGTTTTTGTATGGACCGTATAATGAGGTGCTTTGTGTCATGGCCCAAAGTGCTATTGGAAGGAGAGTCCAAAGAGGGAAAAGTTGGTGGATAAGGGTGGGCAACCTGGGGAGGTGGGCCACGCCTGGCTTCAGCATGCTCCCCGGCACCATGGAGCCTCAGTCTTCTAAGGTCATGGCCCCACCATCTCCCAGTTCTGTGGCCCTCCACACACAGTTTTAACAAGTTGTAATTTTCGCAAAATACCTGCTGTCTTCTAGTTTCCACTATTTTGTCATTGTTTAGAAAATTAGGAACAATTGAACATCTGCTATGTAAATTATACCTGTGTCTTTATATCTCTCATGGGAAACATTAAATTGCCACCATCACTACCACCCCCCAGTTCAACTTTAAGCAAAATTCCTTTTGAACTGTCCTTTCATA